AACGCTACCAGTTCGGTGATCTCAGGCTGGGGAGGATCAACAGCATTTATCGGACACGTTATGCGCATACGCATTTCGTGAGAGGGTATCTGTGAGTCAATCTCTTGTCCATTGAAAGCAAACGCTGGGGTAGATCTGTCTGCTAACACACCTCAAACAGCTACGGATACAATCGCTACGTGATCTTCTTCCAGCGAAACTTCTCCTGGATCCTCATCGTGTTCGTGTTCTTTAGTCTGGTTCTATCAGCCATGCAAGTTGGAGTGGGTCTGGAGGAACTCAAAGATAATCACCATTTCCTTGATGCCACTTATTACTTCGTTGTTTTCAGCATGGTACGTACTCGCATCGCACGAGATGAAACATTGTGGTGGCTGACTCTCTTCAGATATCCGTGGTCGTCGTACTGGCATTCGTTACGATCGTTTTTATCGGCATCTTTCTCTTCAACATGTACAAGGCTATCACGCATGCGGGGAGTACACAGAAGTGGAGACTTAAGATGTTTCGGAGGAATCAGGAGGAGGGTAAGGATGCTTGATATGCGTCGCGATGAGATTTCCATGATTGACGGCATTCATTTCTTGATACCCAATACTTATTAAATCAGTATTTCAATCCAGTCCAACAATCCATACCAAAATTCCCCATTCTAACTCTCCTCATCCCGTCCCTTCTCCTTCTCCAGAGCCACAGGGTCCACATCCTCTTTTCGCTTCGCAGCCCGAAACATACCACCATGATACCACAACGCCAACACTGCAGCCATCGCCGACAAAGCCGACGGCACAACCATCGCCACTTTCAAAACCACACTATACTGCCCCTCAGGCGCGCTCACCACTTTACTAACTGCCATACCGATTCCCCCGAGACTGTTCACGAACGCAGGAAAGAAAACCCAGTTTATCAACCACTGAACCTTCCTCTGGTATTTCCACCATAGATACAACCAGCCTAGTAGACCGACGCAGCAGGCTAGGGCACAGAGATGAAACGAACCCGAGATCTGTATAGCTGTAGGTGGTAGGTCATCACACACTTCAGGACAGTCCCAGTATTCCTCATATTCTATGCATCCGGCGTATTCGTCGATGATGTTGAGTTGTGGGAAGAACGATGGGAGGAGGATGTAGCCGAGGAGGGTACACCAGGAGAAGATCTGCGCGAGGAGTCTGTCGGTGTAGGAAACGCTGTCGTTGTAGGAGGCGGGTTTCAAGAAGGATCGCAGGCTAAAGGGCATGGTGTTGTTGCGTGGGTTTCGCTGGTGTGATCTACGCGTTGGGTTTTCGCGTTTCGTGCTGGTGAGGCCTGGGTTGAGGATTACGTCATCGCCTGGGCGCGACGAGGCGAGGCGGCGCTGGCGCGTTGTGTCTACCTAGACGAATTCTGGGCTCACGGCACGGTTCTTGGTGTTTGCATCAATCCTTTCCTTCGCAACGGAAAAATCGCTTTTGGTACTGGTGAGGCCTGGGATGGATGTTGCGTCATCGTTTTGACCCTTCTCGGCGCACGATGAGGGCGGCGCGAGCGCGTTGGGTTTGCCTCAACTGTAAGGCGATCCAAACCATCACACCAACGATCTCTGTGCCTACGGCACGGTTTCCTAGTGCATCAATCACATCGACCTTTCCTTCGCGATGGAAGAATTGCTTTTGAAACGACGAAGCACGAGAGTATTGTTTGGGATGTTTCGAGTACCTGTAATGCTGCGGCGTGATGATGCTACGACGTCGGGACGTCTTCACAACTGATCACCATCACAGGGCTGGTGGAAACTGAACGGCAGCTGATGTGGCCGCTACTAAATGTGTGCGAAGTCAGAGACATTCGAGAGAAAGAAGAAGATGCACAAGAAGACCTTTAAAGCACAACATAATTGCGACACCAGTCCGATCGTCACACCATCTGGCCGTGAGATTATAGGTCCGAAAAAGCGATCTCATTCACGTTCTGGAAACACGAAAAGACGTTGAGGCCGGCAGAGCAGGAAAGATCTTCACAAATAACGGTCAAATGCCTGCATATCACAGCCATTGAGCCATATCCTTTCCGGCGCGGAGCAACCGTATACTAGCACTCACAAGATACAGCCTCGCATAGTATCGGCAACACGCCATCGGGTTCGGCTTCGATCCTTCGGTTTCGGCGCCGTCCATTAACATACCGCCCAACGAAGATCCCTGTCTTGTCCTATATACCCATGTCGTTCCAAACGACTTCTGTGACTGCAGGTCCCGCCATGCAGACATACTGATTATTTCCGCCTATATTGCCAGCCGAGCAGTCGGGTGTGCCAGTGTGGTATGATCGCAGCAATCAGGTACCTTTGCCACATGGAGGGTAAGACGGACGTGTTATCGGCTCCGTCTTACCAGTTGGTATACACCCAAGCGATGGCATCGAATTTGGAACCGCTACATAATAGCTTTTATCTGATCCTTTTCTCTCTGCGTGGTTGTCGTCGACTGCTTCATGGTGTATTCGCCATTTCTGCTACATCATGTCTAACAGCGTTGCTCCAGAGGCTGTCATTGTATGTTTAATGTACTTTTCTTTTCTGTCATGACTCTGCTAACGTATCTGCAAAGCCCATCGAGGCGACCCTTATGGCCTTGGCCATATTCTTGGCTTCTGGTCGGCTGGTTCCCCGCCTTTTACAACGACAGTATCCTACTGTTAGCGACAGTCTCTTGATAGCATCTATCCTGGATGCCATTGGCCTTTTCGTCACCGACTACCTGACGTACATATGGGGTGGTATGACGGATGATGCAGAGGCATCGACAGCTCGTGTGATTGCTCTCAAGAAGGTGCAATTCGCCGGCAATGCATTCTACGACACTGGCATCTACTGGCCAAAGTTGGCAATCCTCGCGCTATACTATAGGCTCATCCCTCCGACGATGCCGTGGTTGCGAAAAGCACTTTACGCAGTGACCCTTTTCACTGCAAGTGCCATGGTATCGACATTCTTTCTCGACACTTTCTGGTGCGGGCGCCAGGTCTCTTCGAATTGGTCCCCTGATGAGGCAGCCTGTAATACCTTCAGCTCCAAAGAAGTTTTCAGGATCGACTGGAGCCTTAATATCACCTCCGACGTGTTCAGTGAGCAATCCCGTATCATCCAGAGAGCGCATGGATCACTAACGTCGGACCAACAGTCTTCGCGTTGCCATTTCCTCTACTTCGTTCACTACAGCTCCGGCGTCGCCAGATTTGGGGTCTTGTAGCGACATTCTCACTTGGCATTGTCACGATAGCAATGAGTGTGCTTCGATTCGCAACGATAGAGGTCATATACGCCTGGACCAACGTCTGTAAGTGCATGCAGTCAAACACAACTTGAACTATCGCTAACACATGTATAGACGTCCTTTCCATGACCGAAATGGCCGTCGCCATCATGGTAGTCTCATTGCCGTCGATGAGATCTTTCCTACGACGCGGCAGCCTCTTCTCCTCGAACAAGAAATCGCACTCTTCTGGGTCTCGCACGTATGGACACCAAACACCAGCATCCGGGTCTCACAACTTTTTGCGTCCCTCCAGAAGAGGCAAGCACACCGCCCGCGTGCATACAGATGAAGACTCAGGCAGCGAAGTAGAGCTGAACACCATGTCAAGGAAAGATGTCATCTACGAGACGCGCCGCGTTAGCGTGCAGTTTTCAAAGTCGCCTGATGAGGAACACGAGATTTCCGCCAAGTACCCATGAGGGTGGTTCAGGAGTCAATTCCATTGGGATGTAGCTAGTCGCTAATAGCAGCAAAAGCAAAAGTAATTCGAAGGATTGAACAAAATCTATCTGTACGAGGTTTAGCAGCCGGGTCATCTCAACATACATTGTAGTGTTACTTAATAGACCCTTGCCGTTGGGCTGACCACTCGCATCAACCCGGAATGATTGCGCTACCATCCCGCCCACTGCGGTCCGCACACGCCACCAAAAACGCCGCCGAGCGGTATATTCACCCAGCCGAGCCGCAATAGTCCATGGCTCCGTGGGTTTCAATCACCTTTGCAAATACTCTTGACTGTGCCGCATTGCTGCCGTCGAAGCTGTGGATCGGCATTGGCCGAAGGGTCTGCATGCGGGAGGCCTCGTTTGGCAAAATTCATCCACCGGTTCGCCTAACCGAACACCAAAGGAAGCTACGATGCTTGACCAAGCTTATCAGCAGCGAAGGGCCGAACAAAACATAACCACGAATTAGAGGTTACACAGCCTTGATGCTCAATCAGATATCCGTTGCACAATCCAGGAAATAAGAACTCAAACCTTCGTTCCATGCGCCTGAAAAGCCCCTCCCACCACAGACCGAACCCACCGACACGGTACAGCCGTGTGTGGTAAGGCGCAAGGATCACAGTTGGAATCAGCCCATCTAACACGGCAGCCAGAACGCCTCTATTGCAGGCAAACTTCCGCGCGCCTGCATGCAGGGCTCACCCATTGCCATGCGATTCGACAATTCGAGGACAGAAGTCCGACCCCAGTTTCGCATGATAGGCGGTAGAATTCTTTGCCCAGACATACCCTCAGAAGCTATGGTATAATGGTAGCGCGGCAGGATATAGTACCCTGCATGTTATGGGAATTGGCTCAATATACATACTCCTTGCAGTACGCTGATTGAAGCGAAGTGCGGCGCAACTATCTATCCAACGGCCTTTTATCCTGACTGTTTCGTGACTGCTGCTCTGTCACACCACAGCAGCATCGAAGATGGCACACTACATTGATGGGAAAGACTGCATGGTAAGTTAGTTGGTGATACAACAAACAGATCTGCGAAGAGGAAACACGGTGCTGACTTGTCACAATGTGATAGATCTCAGAATGGATCCTCCTGATCTTCGCATACTGTTTCGTCGCGGCGCGCATGTACACGCGCCTGTTTCGTCTGCGCTCGAGGCTGGACGCGTCGGATTATCTGTTGTTGGCTTCTGCGCTGGTTGCGTTGGGGTTGATCATCTGCGATACACTCACGTATCAGATGGGTGTGCTGGATGAGTATGAGACGTCGGAGAAGCTGTCGAAGGTGAGTCGTCCTTGTGGTAGTCGCACTCCTCGCATACCTAACTCGTTGCGCAGATCTCATTCGCCTCGAACTACTTCTACGATGTCGGAATGGGCTTCCCCAAACTCAGCATGCTGGCTTTCTACTGGGCATTCTTCAACCTCGCTGGTCACCCAGGACTCCGCAAGATGCTCTTCGGTATCACGGCTTTTGTCGTCGCGAGCTACCTGACCATCCTTTTCGACGATACCTTCTTCTGCGGCACACCTGTATCCGTCCAGTGGTCTCAGGAGGAGGGCGCTTGCTCCGTTTTCTACGCGCCAGAGCCGTTCATCTTGAACTTCACTCTCAACTTGGCTTGCTACCTCGCGGTCTACGCAGTTCCAGTGGTGCTTCTGATGAAGGGTGTATTGAGGTCGTCGGCTGGTGTTGGTCTTACATTCGCGCTCGGTGCGCTCACTATTGCCTCGAGCATTGTGCGCTTCGCTTGCCTCAAGATTGGGACAGGACAGGAAAACCTCGTTTGTAAGTTCGCCATTCCGTGTGCTATAAATCCTATGCGCGACAACGAGGCTGACATTATCGCTTTCAGATCCTTTGAGTATGGTGGAGATGACTCTCTCAATCATTGTTGTTGCGCTGCCGGGACTCAAGCCACTTGCGAGGAATACTAAGGTCTAGATGCTGGATAAACAGTGGTCAGTGTGGGGAAAACTGATTTGCGATTATCAAATGTAGACTGGAGCGGCAAAAGACTTCGAACTGGCCTTAACGCTCGTAATTTATTTCTAGAACGGCCGCGTGCTCAATATTGGTGATACGTTTATGCTGTGATGAGCCGCTGTGAAAGGCTGTGAGGCAAGCTTCCAGCGGGTGGAATGTAGCACCTTCCTAGCGTGGTGGTGCCTTCCTTCTGATCAGACGCGTAAATATACGCCACTATCTACTACGGCACTGTTCCTCTGAGTTTCGCTCTTGGACTAATCTACTCGTGCATCTAGCACCGCGCTACGTACACTATATATCTACAAACCCCGAAGCCATTACTACTGGATTGTATACGAATATGCCGTTAGCCACAACGCCTTCCCGCAGCCAACACCAACAGCATCGGATTGGCGGCCTCGCCACACTCAGGCGTCTGACGCAAGACCTCCGCTCAACCTTCTCAAGGCATTTACAGGCCACATGGGACGCCTTCAGTCGCTGGATAGCCTCATCAATCTACGCTGAAAGACTGCTATCTGGAAATGAGATTCGTGTTCTCCACATCCGGCCCTCTTCTAGACGAAGTCGACGACTAGAATGCGAACTCAAGCTTGTCAACCTCGATGAAGCACCTTTCTACAACGCACTATCATACGTTTGGGGGACTGACCCACCCAGCGTTACGATCGTATGCAACGGTCAACGTCTCAAAATCCGAAAAGAACTTTCGCATGCTCTTGTACGGTTGAGGCTTGAAGATACCACGCAAATCATCTGGGCTGATGCCCTTTGCATCAATCAGGACGACAACCAAGAGAAAAACCATCAAGTTCCTCTCATGAGCAAAATTTTCTCGCAGGCAGCGAAGGTCAACGTCTGGCTCGGTCACGGTGATGAGATTGTCATCAAAGAAGCATTTGAGTGTTGTAGGTTGGTTGCGAATGCATGCTGGGATTTCAGCTTGGAACATGATATGGATCTCGACGATGAGGAAACCCACGGAGCAGTAGAAGTCCCAATGACCATCTTCACATCTATGGCATGTAGTAGTCTGACAGATCTGTTCGAGCGCCCGCTATTCTCAAGAGTTTGGTGTATACAGGAAATTAAGTTGGCGCAAGATGCACTGGTAGTTTGGGGCGAGCAATACTTACCCTGGGCGGAGGTCGGTCTGACAGCGTTATGGATTTTCAACAGGAGTTATCGGATGGCCAACAGCGATGAAGCCCCAAGAAATCTACTAGAAGAGTTGCGCATAGGGGACGCAGACACCATTTACGAGTTGAATCCTGGTAGTTGGTCACTTCTCGAAACATTATCGAGATTCCGCAAGTTCCAATCAACAGATCCAAGGGACAAGGTGTACGGTCTGATTGGCCTTGTTAGATCTCCGTCAGACGGAGATCTAATGATGCCAGACTATGAGAAGAGTACAGCACAGGCCTTTACCGACACGGCATTGCACACTATCACTAGTACTAAAAACCTAGTGGTCTTTACGCACGTAGCACACCATGCAGATTACGACGGAGATTACGAATACCGGTCATGGGCACCACGTTGGGACATTCCTCACAATAACACTTTCATAGGTCACGCCTTCGAGGCCCCTGAACATGGCGCCTGTAACGGACGTGAAGCCCAATTCGTGCTTACGAAACATTCCGGAAACAAGCAGTTATCCCTTACTGGCATCTTTCACGCCAAAGTAATCACAGTTGATATTGTATTCGACATGTCAAAGTCTGATGGACTTCAAATGTATCAACAAGTCGTTGAGCTTTACGAGGGGATCGATTGGAACGCCCCCATGAGCGACGTGGCTTTGCCGGTGCTAGCTCGGACATTAAGTACTGGTCATGACATGAGAAGTCGCTATATCAACAGACTTGATAAGAATTCACGTCGCGCACACTACGCAGCATTTAGACGCTACCTTGAATGGTATCGTGACCCAACGGCGGACTTTGACAGCTTGCGTGGCGACGCACTCGAATACCACAATCAACTAAGACGCTGCAGCCGGAACCGTCGCTTCTTTTGGACATCGAAAAAGGACTATGGTATTGGTCCAGCATGTATGCGTGAGGGCGATATCGTCGTGGTGCTCTATGGGGGTAGTGCGCCGTTCGTGTTGCGACGGAAAGGCGACAAGTTTCTCATGCTAGGCGAAGCATATGTCGACAGTATTATGAACGGTCAGCTTGTAAAGGAAGTCGAAAAAGGGCGCCGACAAGAGCAGGAATTCTGTCTCATATAGACAAGCGGCGATACTTTCAAGGTTGACCCGTCTCCACGTGCAGGCGCTACCTCTTCGGCGACAATCGTCACCCCGCGCTTCTCCACACTCCAACCTCCGCCATTTCCAGGCACAAACATCAAGTCACTAAACGCATCGCACTGGGCGCTTTCTCGGTGAACTTCATGCCGATCAGCACCACAGCGTCCCTCCACCGTGTTCTTTTAATCTATCGCGTTCCTGTCGCGTCGCTAACAACCCTGGCTCTTAATATGGAAAGCGGAACATCAACGCGGAGACGTCATGGGACCTCGCGCGAAGTGAAAAGGACAGAACGCAAGAAATATGGGTGATGGAATATATAGCTGGGATTGGGCTGTGATAGCTTTCGGGCTCTACACGCAATTGAGACTCCGTAACCTCTACGACTGCATCCTCAGATCGTCTGGCATCATTTCACTTCGGCATATAGACCCTCAATTGATAGCAACATGAGACTCTTCTCGCTCCTACCACCGGCACTCCTCGCAGCGGCCGCCTACGCCAGCGAGGACACCTCCTCCTCCCCAGCAGCCGACGAACCCACGCCCGTAGGCGCGCTCTGGACCGCCCAATGGGACGCCACAACCCTGCAACCCTACACCCAACACTGCCACTCCAAAAACACCTACACCGCCAAAATTTACAAGCTCAACGAACTCTACCCCGACCTAAAAGACGCCGCCCCCCAACTAAAAGTCTTCTACAACAAGCAACTCTACGCAGGGTCTTGGGGCGGCATCGACGTACACGGTACCGGCCGCGAACTCATACAGATGAACATGGCCGATATGCCGTATAAAGTGCGGGAGTGGCTGAAGACCGAGATGTTGCAGAGGCATTATAGTGTGCAGGATGACATGGTGTTTTTTGCGCCGGGCGCGATTTACCCGATTTTGCCGTTGTGGGTTGATGATGCCGAAGAGGCGGAGTGTGAGGGTGTGTTTGATGGGTTGGAGAGTTATTCGAATGAGCCGAGGGATGGGGCGGTGATTGGGAAGGTTGGGCATACGAATACGGGGGAGAAGGAGGTTAGGTTTACGGTTGAGGCGCTGAAGGTTAAGGCGAAGAGTGAGAGGAATGAGTTGTAGGGAGTGAGATGGTGGTGGGACTTTGCTTTCATATTGTTTTAGTGTTTGACTCTAAGAGTTCGATCATGGTGTTCGTTCCTGTTTAACAATCCATCGCTATGGGGTATCACTAAATCAATTCCATAGATTCAACGCCGTGCAAAGCACTTTATATCCCGTGTGGTGACGAGGCGATGCCTCTACCAGTAATTGACGACATTGAACATGTGTCCTTCACTCTTCGCAGGACAGTCCTTCGCTTTGTGTCCTACCTCTTTGCACACATAGCAAGCCAATGGGCCTTTCACCTTCGGCTTCTTGGCTGGCTTGCTTGTCTGCTCGGAAAAAGACACGTTTGAGGTACCGTTGGTGGGAGGCAGAATGGAGGGTTGATCAATCAAAGTAGGGACGCTATTGACACCTTGGCCCCCCGGAGGCGCTGGACGTAAAGCTTTCTTCTTTGGCGCTCTGATTGATTTAGCAGACTGTTGAGTCGACGCGTTCGTGAAAGATGCAGTGGTCTCGCGGGTCACAGGAGTGGTGTTGTTCGTAACCTCTTTTGCCTTGGATTTACGAGGGACTGGAAGCTTGACCACAACCTTTGCGGGTGCAGGTGTTGGTGGCGGCGGTTTACTAGTCACCTCAATCTTCGGCGCAGGCCCTGTACCAGCGTGAGGTTGGGGTTTATTATCGGCGGTGGCTTCGACAGGCTTCATGGGACAGTCGCGGGCGAAATGGCCTTGCTCGTTACAGGTGTAGCAGGTGGCTGGTGGACGAGTCGCCTTCTTCTTGGTCTTCTTGGAAATTGCTGAATCGGTGGCGACCGAGGGCTCGACGGGCGGCGTGTTCGTTGACGAGGGTTCCAACACCTGCTCTACGTTCTCGTACCCGTTCGCATTGCCTGCTTCTGCGAAGGCTTCGGCTTGTTGTTCTGCAGCAGCCTTTGCGTCACGCTCTGCCATTTCCCTGTTGAGACGCTCGACCGTCTCTTTGGTGACACGCTCTATAGTCTCCCTAGTGACACGTTCCACTGTCTCTCTAGCCACGCGCTCTAACATCTCCCTGGCCTCGCGCTCTGCCGTCTCTTTTGCTTCCAGTTCGGCGCGAAAGTTGGCCTCTTGTGCTGCGAGTACCTCGGCCTCTCGTTCTTTGGCTTCACGTTCCGCACGCTCTTGAGCCTCTTGTGCTGCACGCACCTGGGCTTCGTGTGCTGCGGATTCTTCAGCTTCCTGTGTCTCACGCTCCCTCGCCTCGAGCGCAGCTCGCTCTCTTGCCTCACGCTTGGTCTTTGCTTTCGCTTCTTTTTCAGTCTTTTGTTTTGCCTCTAGCTCGGCAACCTCACGGGCCTTTTGAGCGTCTTGTTCGGGAGCATTTTCTTCTTGGGCTTCATGTCCATCCGCCATCTTCTCCTCGGCAACCTTCTTCTGTGCTGCCTTTTCAAGAGCGGCCCTCTCCTTCGCAGCCTTCTTGCGAGAAGCCTTCTTCTCCCTTGCCTCCTGCTCACGAGCCTCCTTCTTCTTTTCCGCTACTAGGCGGGCAGCTTCTTGCGCAGCTGCCAACTCTCGTGCAGCTTTCGCCGCTTCGTCTTTCTCTCTCGCCGCCTTTTCCTGCGCAGCCTTCTCTGCAGCTTCCCGAGCGAGCTTGGCCTGTTCTTCACGTTCTGCTTTCCGTCGCGCCGCCTCGGCTTTGCGCTCCTGTTTTTGTCGCTGGGCTTCTTCCTTACGCGCAAGCTCTTCCGCTGCCTGCTTTGCGGCCTCTTCTTCGGCGTTGTGTGGTTGCTCTGCTTCTTCTCCATTGGTTTGCTCCTCGTCCTGGTCTCGCTCGACCGAGTCGGATCCTTCCGGATCAGAGTGACGTTTAGTCGTCTGAGGCTTCTTTCCGCCCTTGCCTTTCTTTCCCTTCCCCTTCTTTGGCGCCACGCCAGTGCCGTGAAAATTGAACGGGTGAATTGGGGATGACGCTTCGATCTTCTTCTTGCAACCTCGACAGGCAACAGCTCCACCACTTGGACAGCGATAACTGTATTCCTGTACGTGAGCGGCGCAAAACAGGCAAGTTTGTCTCCCCTTCTTCCGTTCCCACCCTAGATCCATAATGGAGTCGTCGTCGGGACGTAACCCAGCCTTCCGGAGTTCAGAATCATAATCGCGTTGCAAGCTGATGACCCATAATTGCGCCATGGCGCGCTTCTTCTCTGGGTCGACGATACGTATACCATCACCCTCTGCTTGTCGAGCCGCAGCCGCCTTCTTCAGTCGCTCGATACATTGCTTGTTGATGTCTTCGATCGCCGATTTCCTGGCCCTTTCTTCAGCGTTACGTCTAGCCGCAGCTTCGAAGTTCTCGCGCCGTCGGAGCAACTCTGCCAAGAGGATTTCCTCCGGGTCGCAGCTGTCAAAGCCATCAAAGCCACCACCGAAGCGGCCACCTCCAAAGCTAGGGCCATAGCCGCCAGAGTAGTATTCGTAATCGCTGTCGTCGTCGTACTCGTACTCGTATTCGTCCTCGTAGAAAGCCTGTGCCTCTGCCCATGCTTGCTCCTCCGCCGCCCTTCGCATGGCCGCCGCACGGCGATCCGATTCGGCCTGAGCACGAATTCTCTCTGCGGATTGCTTCTGCCGCCATGCATTGGGATTCCGCATGTATTCGGCATGTTCCCTCCTGTAGGTGTCCCATTGTGTCCGTATACTGCTATAAGACTGATCGTAGCGCGTCTTGCCTTTCGGATCCCTCAGGATGTCGTAGGCTTCTTGGATTCGTCGGAAGTCGGCCGCATCGACAGCTTCACCTGGCGCCTTCTTGTCGGGATGATGGAGGAGAGCGAGGCGGTGGAAGGCGGTCTTGATCTCGGCACTAGAGGCTGCTGGGCTCACTTCGAGGTCCGCGTACGCGTCTGGTAGCTTGGGCTTCGCGGGGCCCTCCATGGTTGAGATGGAGTTGGGATTGCTGTGGCTGTGGGGTGGGTGGGTGGCGTGGAAGAGCCTTTCTCGCGGAAAAGTTGAGCGTGTAGCCCTTTGGAAATGGAGTATAGGAACGGGTACCTGCAGCCTCACAGCGATTCATTGCTTTGGACGCTCGAAACTTCTAGACAAACGCGTCGTAGCGTGGTGGCAGGGGGCGCACGGATCAAACGCGTTATCAGGTGCTCTTATCTCCGCACTGTCACTAGTGGAGAACCTGTGGATCTGGTCCACCCCACACGCGACTCCCATATTTGCTTGTAGCACTAAAGCGAATGCATTACTACTTAGAACAGTATTCTCACATACCATGAGACAAGATAGCCCTCAGAGTGTACCCTCACTCCACAGCCTTGGCCTTACGATCACCCTCATCCCCATGCGCATACGCATAAGCATCGATACTATGTTTCGCAAACGCCCTCGCAGGCAACCCCTCCGCAAACATTATATCCAACTCCTCATACGTTCTTCCCTTCGTCTCCGGAAGACGGAAAAACGTCCAAACGAAAAAGATCAACGCGCCTCCACCCCAGAAGAAGCCCGTCTTGCCCTTCCAATCACCCGCAGTGGGGTTCAGCATATACGGGTTGATAACGTTGGTGAGAATCTGGGCGATGTAGTAGCTGATGCGAGCTAGACACACACTCTTGCTGCGAAGACGCGTGGATGAGACTTCTCCGACAATGGCATAGCAGATGGGTCCGACGGTCATGTAGTACCAGAAGAGCCAGATGATCATCATAGCAGCTTGGGCGTAGTTGCCGCCGGACGAGTCGCCGGCGCCTACGCTGATGAATCCGACGATGAAGAGGATGGCTGCTAGACCACCGAGGCCCCAGAGGTAAAGCTTTCGACGCCCGATGTAGCTCATGAGGACCCAGGAGATTAGTGTGCCGACTGATGCCATGCCGAGACCGCCGACGGACATCTTGAAGGAGATTGAGGTTGAGACTCCTGCCTGGACGAAGAAGTACGTGGGTGTGCCGCCCATAACGGAGCCGCAGATGGGTTGGGCTGCGAAGACCATGCACGCGATTTCTGTGCGGCGGCGGTCGATGCCCTTGAAGCATTGAAGGTAGGATGTGTTTTCCTCAAGCGACTTCTCCAGTTCGTTTGTCCGAACCATCATCGCGACCTTTTGCTTAGCCATGTCACGTTGGGAGACAGACCCAAGACGGATGAGCATTTGCTCGGCCAGTTCGAGATTGCCGGTACGAACGTGGTACCATGGGGACTCGGGTGCCATCCAGAGGATTGCAAAGAGTGGGATAGGCCATGCCCATTGGATGGCAAAGGGTATCCGGTATGCCCATTGTGTGTTGTTGCCTGAGAATGCGGATTGTACTCCAGCGGAGATGAGTTGTCCGAATGCCCAACAAAGGTTGACGTATACGGTGAGGTAGCCTCGTAGAGCAAGCGGACACACCTCACTCGCGTAGGCAGGCGCCATGGTAGCGAAAACACCCCATGGTATACCGCAGAGGAATTGACCAACCAGGAGGACGGGGGCGTTGGGCGCGAAGAAAGAGATGAAGATCAGCGCGCAGATAGACGCGAGCGACACCAGCAAGACGGGACGGTAGCCAAATCGATGGATAAAGTACCCGTTCGCAAACGCGCCGATGATGGTGCCGACGCTCACAGCATTGCTGAGTCCATTCTGCCACGATGCCGTTATCTCATACGTCTGAGTGCCTTGATTGAACTCTCCATATTTGCGTGAGAAGGACGGCTGTGCGAAGAAGGAGCTCATCAAGACGATGTCGTATCCTTCCATGATGATGCAGGTGGATAGCAACACCGACCAGAGCACAGCTTTGGGGTATTTGCGAATGGCTTGCATCAATGTCATCTCGTGTTCCTCGTCGGCAGCCGCTTTGGCCTGGTCGAAGGTAACCTCATGGTGTTCCATGGTCGCGGCCTTTTCGTCCATGTCTGCCATGATGGGTCGGATTGGATCGGTGCGTGCACCAGGTATGTAGAAGCAAAAAGAAGACAGCGAACCAAAGAGTCCGAATGTAGACCTCAGAAGCTGTTGGTTGTGGTGAATTATGTGGA